ACACACACACACACATATATATGACACGTTTGTGTTAGTAAAACGCGACAAGATGTAGTTTTTCAGTCAGGCACATCAGAGGCACCTCTTACTACGCGAAGGCGTGTGGATGGGGCGGATTTGATGATGTTGAGTTGGCAGTTTGGTTTCAAAGTGAATTCTTCTTAAAACTCTGCAAAAATTGCAAAACTTTTGTTTGTTTGTTTGTTTTAATGTACTAAAAGCCAACGCTAATGTCCGCTAGTTTGCGGGTGGTTTCTCGTGTTTATGAGGTTTCTGCCACGCAGCGGTACAGCAGCAGTCCTCATTAACTGCCAGATGATCCTGCGCCTTCTGCGCGCAAACCACCTTTGATGTTTATGTTTTAACCTTTTTATTATTTGGTTTGTTTTCTTTTAACGTGCTGGAGGGACGGATGAGATCATTACTATGGGACTGAGGAGAGGTAGGTCAGTTTGAATCATTTGCAGCTTAGCTGTAACTAGTTCTGCAGAGTGTGTGAAAAGCAGAAATAGAAAACTTGCAGAGTAATAATGAGAGGACTATATACTTACTGTGTCTTTCAGTTAACGTGATCATTCTTGTGCTGCTGGCTGTTGCCTTCCTCATCATAGTCCAGCGAAATCTCCTCAATCTCAGTGACTTTTTGCACACAGAAAAGCCAGGTATGGTCATTATCTCTGTGTTCGAGTCTTCACTGTAGTGTGGGGCACACACTCTTGCGTGGAGCAGTTAGGTGAATTTAAGTAAAGCCATACAAAAAGTTGATGTAATGCATTTTTAAATGTGCCTTTATGTGCAGATGAAGGGCTGATTCTTCCCTTTGAGTCTGAACTGTCTCCAGACTTGAATTCGGCAAGGACGGGTGAGGAGATTCCTGTTCTCATCACCGCTGCTGAGGACAGACTTGGTGCTGTTGTTGCTGCCATGAACAGTGTGTACAGGAACAGCAAAGCCAATGTTGTCTTCAACATCGTGACCTTGAATGAAACCGTCGCTCACTTAAAGTAAGATATTTCAGCACGTCTCTCTCCTTAGGTGCGGAAAGGTGGGAGTTTGTGAACTTGGTCATATTTGACCTGTCCTTTTCTTTATTTTACAGAGCATGGCTGAGTAATACTAGACTAAACAGTGTCAAATATAAGATAGTAATTTTTAAGCCTGAGTTACTTAATGGGAAGATATCTAAGGATCCTCAGACCCCGGAGGCTGCAAAACTAGTAAGACAACTACAGGCATACACATGTTGTTTGCATGCCTTCCCCACTAGCTAAAACTTGTTTTAACTGTAATTTTTTTCAGCTGACCTTTGCCAGGTTTTATCTTCCTGCTTACATTCCCGAAGCAGAGAAAGCTATCTATTTGGACGATGATGTCATCGTACAAGGTGAGAAGTCTCCAGAAATGAAGAGATTTGGTTATGAAATGAGGCCCCCTTTTTGTTTTTTTGTTTTTTTAATTTCAGTAAATTCTTTTCTGTTGGCTCTCAGGTGACATTCAGGAGCTCTATGAAACCAACCTCAAACCAGGACATGCCGCAGCCTTCTCTGATGACTGTGACTCGGCATCTGCCAAAGGCATTGTTCGTGGTGCGGGAAATCAGGTGGGCATGACCCACAAGAGCTTTTCAGAGTAAAACAAAAAGTTAAGAATATCATACACTGTGATGCTTAATTAGATGACAAATCTCTGTTAACAGAATAATTACATTGGCTTCTTGGATTTCAAGAAAGAAGCTATCAAGAAGCTGGGGATGAGAGCCAACACGTGCTCTTTCAATCCCGGGGTCTTCATTGCCAACTTGACTGAATGGAAGAACCAAAACATCACCCAGCAGCTGGAGCACTGGATGGAGCTCAACACACAGTAAGTGACTCAGACTGGCGCAATAATGAATGGACTTTAAACAAAGGAAAAAAAATCCTACTGTTAGTTACAAAACATGAATTTAGAATAGAATAGACCTTTGTTGTCATTGTACATGTACCTTGAAATTTAATCCAGTGAATCTCTTTCTTTGTTTTAAAACCGTGATGTTTTCCTTTTCTCAGGGAGGATCTATACGGTAAAACCCTCGCAGATAGCGTTACCACTCCTCCACTCCTCATTGTTTTTTACAAACGCCACTCTAGCATTGACCCCATGTGGCACGTGAGACACCTTGGTAAGTTCTGGCTGATTTCTAATTTTAAAAATGAACAAACCAAAAATGGATTTTCCAACAATCACATTGTTGCGATGTCATAGTTTGTGAAGTGGAAACACCACAAACAAAACTTTAACGCCATAACCATAACTACAGGGAGTGCAGAATTATTAGGCAACTTAACAAAAAACAAATATATACCCATTTCAATTATTTATTTTCACCAGTGAAACCAATATAACATCTCCACATTCACAAATATACATTTCTGACATTCAAAAACAAAACAGCGACCAATATAGCCACCTTTCTTTGCAAGAACACTCAAAAGCCTGCCATCCATGGATTCTGTCAGTGTTTGGATCTGTTCACCATCAACATTGCGTGCAGCAGCAACCACAGCCTCCCAGACACTGTTCAGAGAGGTGTACTGTTTTCCCTCCTTGTAAATCTCACATTTGATGATGGACCACAGGTTCTCAATGGGGTTCAGATCAGGTGAACAAGGAGGCCATGTCATTAGTTTTTCTTCTTTTATACCCTTTCTTGCCAGCCACGCTGTGGAGTACTTGGACGCGTGTGATGGAGCATTGTCCTGCATGAAAATCATGTTTTTCTTGAAGGATGCAGACTTCTTCCTGTACCACTGCTTGAAGAAGGTGTCTTCCAGAAACTGGCAGTAGGACTGGGAGTTGAGCTTGACTCCATCCTCAACCCGAAAAGGCCCCACAAGCTCATCTTTGATGATACCAGCCCAAACCAGTACTCCACCTCCACCTTGCTGGCGTCTGAGTCGGACTGGAGCTCTCTGCCCTTTACCAATCCAGCCACGGGCCCATCCATCTGGCCCATCAAGACTCACTCTCATTTCATCAGTCCATAAAACCTTAGAAAAACCAGTCTTGAGATATTTCTTGGCCCAGTCTTGACGTTTCAGCTTGTGTGTCTTGTTCAGTGGTGGTCGTCTTTCAGCCTTTCTTACCTTGGCCATGTCTCTGAGTATTGCACACCTTGTGCTTTTGGGCACTCCAGTGATGTTGCAGCTCTGAAATATGGCCAAACTGGTGGCAAGTGGCATCTTGGCAGCTGCACGCTTGACTTTTCTCAGTTCATGGGCAGTTATTTTGCGCCTTGGTTTTTCCACACGCTTCTTGCGACCCTGTTGACTATTTTGAATGAAACGCTTGATTGTTCGATGATCACGCTTCAGAAGCTTTGCAATTTTGAGACTGCTGCATCCCTCTGCAAGATATCTCACTATTTTTGACTTTTCTGAGCCTGTCAAGTCCTTCTTTTGACCCATTTTGCCAAAGGAAAGGACGTTGCCTAATAATTATGCACACCTGATATAGGGTGTTGATGTCATTAGACCACACCCCTTCTCATTACAGAGATGCACATCACCTAATATGCTTAATTGGTAGTAGGCTTTCGAGCCTATACAGCTTGGAGTAAGACAACATGCATGAAGAGGATGATGTGGACAAAATACTCATTTGCCTAATAATTCTGCACTCCCTGTATAGCTCGTTACCCTAACCTTAACCACGTTCACGTTCTAACCCTCAAATCTAACTCCAAACGTTTTTTAAAAAACTTTTTTTCCTGAGTGGACATCAGCAGGTTTATTTTTTCCATGTTAAAAAACTATGAATTCACAACAGTGTTCTTGTTCACTTGCAGCGTTGAACTTTGACAAACGTTAATGCTGCTGATTCAAGAACAAGTCCAACGTGGAGATATCAGATACATCCACAAGACCAGGCTGCTTGACAAGCTTTTAAAGACACATTTAGCCTCAGAATCTAATTATTTATGTGGTCTATAAGGCCAGATGAATACTATGTAAATTACTTGGGGGTAAATCATTTAAATAGGTAATTTTTTTCATGGTGCCAAGTTGTAGATTTCTCTGCCTTCTTTAGAATATAATGGATCTAAATGGCACCTTGTGGAGCTTACAGTGCCGTAATGAAAGTCAGTAGCGACGCGTCTCTTCACAAATTACGACATGCTTTCTTAAAAGAACAAAAAATATTGTGATCACTTAAATGTAAGAACTTTTACTCTTTTATCTGACTTCACCCATCAACTGTTTCGCTCTTCAGAAGAAAGCATGAATTTAGTTTTGTTTTTCCATGTTGACCACCACATAATAAGACACTTCCATTATGTTCAAGAAAAAAGCAGAGATTTCTACATCTGATATTTTTAAAATGGTGGAAATCACACCAAAACAATCCAGATAGATATATGGCAGGCTGTTCATTAGTCTGAGCATTTTGCTGTAACTGACTTAAAACAGCCACCTCCTAGCCTTGTCTTCACTTCTAACTAATACATGCCAGTGTGGTCAAATGTCTCTGCAAAGAGGCAAATTGTCAGTGTCAGACTAGTCCTACAGCAGCCTTTTGATGTCATTAAGTGACTTTTAATTGTGCAAAAACTCTGTGAAAGATAAAAGTATTCAGATCACATGTTTGATGATCATACAGGATGGTCCTGTTTTGGTGATAAAAAAAAAAAAAAAACATGTTTCTCTTCATACAATAACGGATTATATTTTGTGCTTTCAGTGTTAAATATGCTAAATAAAAGAAACAATTCTGTTCATTTTTCAGGTGTAACAGGTGCTGGAAGCCGCTATTCTTCCCAGTTTGTGAAAGCTGCCAAACTCCTGCATTGGAACGGACACTATAAGCCCTGGGGGCGAGGATCCTCATTTACTGATGTGTGGGACAAGTGGTTCATTCCCGACCCCACAGGAAAATTTCACCCTGTGCGAAGACACACGGGGGACAGCTAGACTGAAAAATGGGCTCCTTGAACCTTCAGATCGGGTTCGTAGCAGCAGGAAAACTTCTTCATATCTCAGGAACTATGCAAATGTCATGTGTTTTAGTTCCATCGTCCTCCGAATGTGGACCTGCCTATTCTCATCTTCCAATGAACAGAGATTTTTTTTTCTATATCCAGAGTATATTGTTGATCGCTTCGAATTGCATTTTTTAAGAAATATTTTGTTAAACTAAAAGTAGACCATTTCAAATACTGTTTTACTCCCACTCAGCTGAGCATAAACCATCCTTGTCAAAGTAAATGGCTTTTAAGTAGCTGTGTTTAGCAGCTAAATAAGGATTTATTTACTTAATGTGCATATTAAATGACTCAATTATCTGAGTGAGTCACAGCTTATTCCTGCTTCTTTCTGATCAGCTTAGTTTGAATTATAATCATTAGCCATGCAAATTCCTCATGTCAGTACCTCAGTGCAGTACTTCCTGTGGAAAACTATATTTTTAAGTCTTGTATAAATCCTCTACAGGTTAACTGCAGTCAAACTAATGGTGCATGTTACTTTACCATAATAAACACTACCTGTCCCGCTTTCATATTTAACAAAAAAAAAGTTTTTTTTTTTATTTTTTTTTTTTTTACACGAACCACTAAGATCACTGCACCTCTGCAGGAACAGAACAGCTTTGCACGAACATCTCCTACTTTAGTGCTTCATTATCAGCATTTTCCTACTACCTGTTTAAAGTCCCCTTACTGGTGTAAATGTCTTTTTTTTTGTATATCAAATAAAGGTTACATGTTTATTAAACTCTTGTGATTCTTTTTTTGTCCAATATCTGCTAAATCTTTTTACAATTGCATCTTCAGAATTCGGTACCTTTTGTGACAGTGTGCCAAATATCAGGCTTAAATCCAGAATTTGATTTTTTTTCCCAAAAATAGCAGTCGCCATTTATGAATCAGAAATTGCTACACTTTTCAAACATGTCTGAGGGATTTGCAGAAAGTTGATAAATATTTGGAAAGTCCAGTCTTTTGTGATCATACCGTTGCTTTTGTTGTGTACAGTGAAGTTGCTGGTATCTTTGGTCACCTCTACATGTGCTGGCTCTCATTTTCCTAATAGGGATGGACAATAACAAAACAAAGACACTGTAGTTAATACCTTTAAAATTAGGCTAAGATGTTTCCCAGTGGGTTGTGTCAGATGGATGTCCCTCCCTGAACCTGGTTCTGGACGGTTCATCCTGTTAAAAGGGAGTTTAGAAAAGTTAGTTTTTATCACCAAATGTTTGCTCATAGGGGGTTGTCCGATTGTTCAGGTTTTCTCTGGTATTACTGTAGGCTCTGTAGATATAAAACTGAATTAAAGAGGGTTTTCATATTGAAATGTATTGATCTAAAAAAACAACAAAAAAACTCCACACAGCACAAGGCAACAGATTGTTTCTTTTCAGGTTTATTACCTTGGTAGTACGATGTCTATTTACACTGCAATACAAGATATTACAAAGATCTTGTAAAGAATCAGATATATACAGATGCATGCTATGCAATAAAGTCCATCTCTTGGTAGGTGGTTATTCCGAGAAAGACAAACAGACTGATTTATCAGTTGAAAACTTTCAGATTAATCCCACAGTAAGCTGGGTTCAACCCAGCTGTACTCTGAAATCAGTCCACTAGCAGGACAAGTGAAGGCACCCAAGTGACTGTATATCATCATTTTCATGCATTCTGATGAATCCAAAGTCTGAATGTCCACCAGGCTGCAGGCACCCGCTCAATCATTTAAAATCAGTGTTGAAGTCATAGGCGTCGTCTGTGATAGCTGTTGAGAGGCTGATGTCAATGGGGACAGACTGAAAATGCACGTTTCCTTTTTTTTCTGCAACGAGAAAGCAGGAGATGTTAAGTAGCTGCCTTGATGGGACCAATATTCTAGTGACAAATGAAAGCAATCTTTTTCAAAACATTTACTTTTGATTGTCTTTTTCTGTAGTTTCTCAGCTTTCTCCTTTTTATTCGAGTCCTCCGTGGTTTCAGTCTGTAAGAAGAGCGGATGGTTCAGTTATTTAAACTCAACAAGCTCAAAAATATACAGCGTGTTTTATTAAGAGAAAAAAAAGGGTTCCAGTCATCAGGATCAGAGTTGGATTAGAAGTCTTCATGAACAATTCAAGACTTGCATTTTTGTCCTCATTTCCAGAAGAGTGGACCATCATTAACATTTTAAGCAGCTCTATTGTTTGACAGGTTTCCCATCTGTAATTACCTCGCTGCTTTCTTCGTTCTGCTCTGCTGCTTCTTCTGTGGCTGCAGCTCCAGGCTTTCCTTCAGGGATGTCGGCGACACTCAGCAAACCTGAAGTCGGCCCTTTAGAGGTGAATCCTATACTGCTGGCCTGGTTTGGAAATCTAACAGCTGCAAAAGGGAATGTTTTCAACAAGATTAAAAAATGAAAACACTGTAATACATTCACAAGTGCTGACCTGAAAAGCCCATTTGAGGCCTCAAATGCCAAACTGCAATTCTTTACACCTCACACGAATAGAACATTAATATTAACCGTAACTACTTCCTGCACTCTCAACTTTTATTTCTAGACCTCTATCAACCAATCCCTGAATTTCAAAACAAGCATCAGATGGGAAAGGAAGGTGATTTTATGACTCTAAATGTGCATGATAGTTGTGTCAGATGGATTGGTCCATTTCACATTTTGGACCTCTTAAAACCATTTGAGCATCATTTGCTTATTATTTATTATGTTTAATGTTGCTGACAATGTCCTTTTCCAGCAGTATAACGGACCATGTCACAAAGCTCAAAAATCATCTAAAACCTGCTTCCTCTGAAATCTTTTGGGATTCCAGTATCGACCAAAAGCAGAGGAATATTTCCAGCACTTCACTGAATCTATGCCCCAAGTAATTAAGGCACTTCTGAAGGCAACAGGGGCTCTAACCCAGTAACTAACCAGGTGTAACTAATAAAGTGGCCGGGAACCATTTACCTCTGTAATAGTGTACTGTGTTTGCCTTACGTTACACAATGACACCCCCCCCCCCCCCCCCAAAAAAAAAAAACTTCACAAAATTTCACATTAATACCTTTCAGAGTTTCCTTGTTTCCCGTTTTTATTTTGTTTAGATTCCAGCCATTCTGCATCTCAGTGACCACAGCATCAGACAGGTAGGCAGGAAGGCTGTGGTTTTCTGGTGCCTTACAGTGGTAGCTCAGTTTGGCTCTGAGGAGACATCAAGCCAGAGAGCAGGATTTTTTTTTAATTCAAAAGCACTAAGCAGTTTTTTCCCAAGCAGCATATTTACAGCTCAGTACAGCACAGTATCTGGATCAGAGTTGGATTAGAAGTCTTCATGATGAACTCCAGAAGTGCATTTTGTCCTCATTTCCAGTCATGCACTGCAGCTGCCCACCTTCCCAAGACAGTATAAAAGTGCGCACACTCACCCTGTCCAATCTGCAAGAAACGTGGTGGCCGCCTGCTCTGTGTTGGGAACGCCGCCCTTCTGCAAATAACCACGCTTTTTGGCGAAAAGGGTCAGAAACTCCAGAGAATTTCTGAAGTCTGGGATGTTATACTGAAGCATGATCTGGAACAATCAGAACAAATAACCTTAATTTATTAAAACTGTAATTTACAGCAGCGACCGAATTTGTAATGTTAACACCTCCTGTGAGAGAAACTCTTCGTACCTGGGTCTTATCACACTGCTTAAGCAGATTCCTGACAGCCTCCAGCACACTCTCACCGCCTTCCTCCACCTGCAGGCTCCTTAGAGCCATCGAGGCCGGAGGGTTGGATGGCGATGCCACAACTCCTGGGCTGTCTATTAGCTTCACATTCTTTGCGATGTGCACCTCTTGCATCATTCTGGTGAATTGTAGAGAGGAAAAAAAAATGATGATGCAAAACAAGCAAGAGGGTCAGAGAAACGTATTCACCACCAATATTCACTTAAATTACAACTTTTAAAGCAAACTAAACAGAACAATTGCAAGCAGTGATACAGAAGAGTTCTACTTTGAGACTGGATTTTTAAAGATTGCCACTTACTTGGTGGTGCCTCTCTTGATGCCAACATTGCATGCTAGGGACCCCTTTATACTGTTGATGATGCTGCTCTTCCCAACATTAGGAAAACCTGAAGGTAAAAGGAAGTGTGCAAAAGATTCAGTACCCTGAACAATTGACAGTGAATGCAACACCCATCAAGGACATTGATGGCAAAAAAAGAAAAAGAAAAACTTACCAACTACACCGACTCGGAGTGAACCTTCACTCTGCGTTTTATCAGCATAGCTTATGAGCAACTCTGCAAGACAACAGTTTCCAAAGCAGGCTGCTCCTCTGGATCTGTCCAGCACTTCATTAGAGGCCACTATCCTGCGCTTTTTGGCTTTCTAATGAAGAGCGAAACAGAGATATCATGAACAGTTAAAGTGGCTGAGGATTGCTCTTTTGTAAAAATGGATACCTCGTGTCTGCATGCATAGAGATTTTTAAAAATGATCCACAAACACATCTCAGCTCTGCGTAGAACAGGCTGAATTAATCATGTGGTTTGTTTACTACTCTTGGAGGCTATAACCAGTTATAACAGCACAGAAGAAGCTGTCCAACCTTCTCAGTCCTCCACATCATTAAAAAAAACAACAACCCTAATTTCTAACAATTCTTAGTAACCACAGAACTCACACTAGCCACTGTTGAATAACAGTTTTAAAACACGCTCGTTATTTCAGCCCTCTATGACAGACAACTCGTGAAAATGAATAAACTGCATCTGTGATCTAAACAGACGGTGGACTGCTTTCAAAGCAGAAAGTTGGAGCTGTCACCAGTTCAGTATTGACCAAACTACCGTTTGGTAGTATTTGACCAAACATGAGATGTGATCAGTCTCCCTTTCGCTTTTTAGGTATGATGTTGGGTGATGGCAAGAAAATCATTTTTGCAAAATCTCACTGTGCAAAATCTCAGGTGAATTGACTCTTTTTCAATCCCAGGCGGAGACACAAATCTACTTGGGGTTGTGCCACGCATCCAGCGTAAAAATAACTAACTAAATAAATCAAACTTACGGAACTACTGGCTGTTGTGGCAAAATCTGAAAGGCAAATTCTTCATGTTTTTAAAGTGTGGAGAGTAAAATGCACCACCTACCACAACTCCATCCCGCAGCTGTGTCGATGCTTTAAATGCCACAGCAGGAAACTCCTGCTGCAAACACTGGATCCACCTTTCCACGGTCTCTTTTGGCACCAGGTCTGCAACAGACAAAGCCAAAAACCAGTTTAATCCAATGAAATTCACGCAAACACATCAGGGTTTAAACTGTACGTGAAACATGAGGCAGGATCCCAAGTCAATTTACCTATTTTGTTTAAAACCAAAAGTAATTTCTTGGTGCCTCCTCTCTGCAGCACAGCCTCCTCGAGCTGTGGACACCTGCACCCCAGTGGATCACGAGCGTCGAGGACTTCTATTACTACATCGGATGCATCGATTACCTGAAACAGAGGAGATCCCTTGAGCGTTAAGAGCTATTATTCTCCATGGTTAGACCACACCTGGGAGCAGGTAGCTTTACCTTGTTTAATTCAGCACAAAGGAAGTGTTTTGAGCTCCTGTCTGGGGCAGGCTTTTTCTCTGACTGAGTTCCATTGTCATCCTATTTAAACAAGACAAGGTCAGCAGAGAAGAGCTTAAAAGTTGAATACACATAAGGTCTTAGCGATGGCCTTTTTACCTTGCGAGCCTTCTTCGCCGTGGGTTCTGCTGCTTTACTCGCAGCCTCCTTCTCTTTCTTCCTCTTCTCAGCTCGCTGCTCCTTTTTAGCTTGCCTCCTCTTTTCTTTTTCTTCCTCGACCTATGAGACAGATTCATTGAAAGACTCTTACACTTTAACAACACAAGAGACATACTGCACATGAATGTCATGATGATCAAAGCACAGACTTTTTCATGGTTAGATCGGGACTGTGCATTAACCTTCAACATGCTCCCGTGATGATGTGCGCAAGAAAAGCCATTTGACTGCTAACCTGTAGCCTCCTCTGTTCTGCCTCTCTGAGGATCTCCTCTTTGAAAGGAGCACTGTTGGGCACTCCGATATCCTTCTTCACTCGTTTGCTCACTCCTTTCTTCTTTGCCTCTTTCCTTAGCTTTCTGTTGTGCTCCCGGACCTAAATACACGACAAGACTGGGTCACTCAGTTACATGGGGACACAAAAATCCGTTTAAAAAAAAGAAAAAAGAAAATCTGGTCCACATGGGCCTTCTGTGGGAAACATTTACTCAAACGTCCTGCTAGAAGTTAGTGTCAAAGTTAAGGCGCTTACCTTCTTCTGTATTTTATAACGTTTGGCACATGAGAGCCGCTTGCTTGCCTTCTTTAACTCTGAAGACGACAGAAAAGAATAAAACAGTTAGCGGTTGTAAGCTGGAAGCCGCGCTAAAGCAGACTGAACAGGTTTACCGGCCACCAATGACAGCCGCTAGCTCGTTAACCGCGTGATTAACAGACCAGTAAAGCTCTGTATAATTATTCCACTTTATTCATAATGAAGTATTACTGTAACAACGTTATTTACTTACTTGGTCGTTTCATGATGGTGCCGCAGACCTACCAATGTGACTGAAATGCTCTCACACGTGGGAGACGGAGAAGTTTGATGTCATGTCACTTCCGGTTCTTTCAGCGTGTGGTTGGGATTTCGCCACCTGCTGGTCAGGAGGGTTTAGTTACAATCTTGTTCTTCTTTCGCCACAGCGGATCATCTGCCTCAGCCTCATCCTCTGTAGCTCCAACCGTGTCCTTCTTCATTACGTCCATGAATCTCCTCTGTGGGCTTCCTTTTTTCCTCCTCTGTGGCAGCTGCATATTCAACATCTTGTGTCCAGTGTATCCACCTTCCCCCCTCTACACGTACTCAAATATCTCAGTCTTCAAGTCAAGTCAAGTGGCATACTGTCATTTCAACCACGTGCAGCGGTACAGTACACAGTGTAGCGAGACAATGTTCCTCCAAGACCATGGTGCTACATATAACATATAACAGACAATCAACACAGGACTACATAAAGTGCGATTGTGCAAAAATAACAAAACCCCCCAAAACTAAACACAGTGAAACACCAGACAGAACAGAACAATACAGACACAAGACAGTGCAGACACAACAGTGCAATAGAAAAGTGCAACAATGACAGTGGGATGTTCAAAAGACCGAGCATTGTGCAAAAAGCAGCTTGATGTATGAAGGTGTGTGTGTGTGTGTGTGTGTGTGTGTGTGTGTGTGTGTGTGTG